TTGTTACCGTGACTGTGATTATATGTGTGAACTGGCTTCATTAAGATGATGCAGTAGTATCAACGAACAAAATGAAACTGTGGTCAGATGGAGAACAGATTTACTGTTTTATGCCTCTCGCAAAGACATGACTTTGTAAACCATCCTGTGAAGATGGCCTTTGGGTTTTGCAATGCCATTTCCTTCTTTTTTCCCCTAAGTTGCAAACAATATTGCAGTATCTTTCATGATATTCAAAGACCTTCTCAAGATCCTTATAGATGTTAGTGACACACTGTTTCCATACATGTGTTTAACAATGTTGTTTTTGCATGTTTAGAGAAAGCATGGAAACGCATGGTTACCAAAGTCTGTTATGTTGGTGAGGGCTTTACAAGAAAACCTCCAAAGTATGAGAGATTTATCAGACCAATGGTGAGGAAAATCAACTGTTCCAATCTTGTTCAAACTGTCCCCTGTACTCAGAAAGAAATATATATATTTATGCTACATTATGGCCTTCCCTCTCTCCCTCCTTCCCTCACTGGAGAATAGTGTGCAAGAAGCTGTTCACAGACTACATTATGCTTAAAAGACCCCTTCTGAAAATAAATAAATAAATAAATTCTGTAGACATCTTAACTTGAAAATGGTGCCAGGATGACACCGAAACGTCGTTGCTCAGTTTTTTCACTAATCTTTATCGTTAACTGTATTTCCAAATTTAATCTGTAGACATCTCCCTTGAATTCCTTTGGACTGAAGCTAAAAATAATGTACTGATATTTGTCAAGTTTAATTAAATCCTAACTGTAGCCTGTTTTGTTTCTATTTAGGGTTTACGTTTCAAAAAGGCTCATGTCACACATCCCGAGGTGAGTTACTAGATTCTGTGAAGCTCTTTCTGGTTATGGTCACAAAGGCTGACTGACAAATGAAATATTTATATTTGTAGAAATGATTTGTATGTATTTACATGCATGTGTCTTATTTCTACTATATATTTGTTTCATTTGCTATGCCAAGCAAAACAATGCACCCACCTTTGCCAAAACTGTCTGATGTCTATATGTAGATGCTTGGATTTCCTTGTAAAAGCAGTTATCCTAGAATGTGTACACGTACATGCTGAAAAACACTGTAATTCACACAGTGTTTGGCAAAACAAACACTTGCTAATATATTGAGTAGGCACTTGCTATGTATTGAATATCTTATTTTGTTTGAATCCCATCTGTAATGTGGTGTATCTCCTGGTATTTTTCAGTTGAAAGCAACTTTCTGTCTACCCTTGATTGGCGTGAAAAAGAACCCCCAATCACCAATGTATACACAACTAGGAGTTATAACAAAAGGAACTGTTATTGAGGTAAGCAGTATTTCCTTGTTTTCCATGTTTCTATAAAGTTGTACAAGTATGAGTATGAGTATGAGTATGAGTGGAAGTTTGGAAGAATGCGAAATGCTGCGGGAACACCAACCACAGAAAGTATTTCCGCAGCTTTTTTAACGTCTCTCAAACATTCAGTAGTATTGCTAAAACTTGTTGTAGTTTACCACTAAATATTCCTTGGTTGTCACTGGCAAAAACTGTTCAGTGATAAAATTTTGCGTGGCCACTATTGGGTGATATCAGAACAATATTACTTGCAGGCAAAGCAGCTAACAAAATGCAGTGTCCGCTTACCATTTTTGTAGGAGGATAAAAAGAATTCACCCCTCCCTGCAACTTACTTTGTAATTTCGAGAGCATCCCAAGTGAGACCAATTATTTTCCTTTATTATTATTATTATTATTATTATTATTATTATTATTATTATTATCGTACATCACTATGATGAACCACAAACTTCTAAACAACCCGTTTGCTGCACATAGGAGGTCAAGCTGTTCACTGATAAAGAACTTCCTTAGTTTGTTACGTTCTTGAACAGCTCTTTTATGAATTGAAGAAGTGATGATCTAATTTACAAAATTGTTTTCTTGTGTAGGTTAATGTAAGTGAACTTGGCTTAGTGACACAAGGTGGCAAAGTTGTATGGGGTAAGTGTGAATTGAAAGCAATTCCTTTGTTCTTGTGAGGGTTGGAAGGAATATTAATTTAAGACCACTTTACATGTTATCCTTGGTTACAGTCACGACATTTGCTGGCAAAGTTTTTGTGATAATGAGTAGAATATGCCAGACTCCTGTGCGTCAACTAGTAAAGTCATAATTTTGAGTAACTTTATACAGAGAATACTGTCCACCATATTGTGCAAAAACACTTGTTGATAATGGGGAACATGTTTTTTTATGATTTGGACTTTTGCTTCTTGTTAAGAATTGTTGGTGTGTCTCATTTTACAGGTAAATACGCTCAAGTCACGAACAATCCAGAAAATGACGGTTGTATTAATGCTGTATTACTGGTATAACAACTGAAAAGTAGGAAATGAAGTTGTAAATAAAAGAATTTGACCTTATCCATGTTATAAACTGTATTTATTTTTCTGTGTCTGACTTCAAATGATTGTAAAGACACAAGGTACTACTCTAGAGTTGACCATTTTTGTATTTTTGGTATTAAGCTAAAGCTAATGGAGGAATTTTTTTTCTAAATGTAAATGATTAATGACATTCCCCGCGAGCCTCCAGTGCATGCTACTTAAAATACAATAATGGTCTATTGGATTTTATTTTGAGCCAAATTTTACTCAGATAACCTTATTTCCAGCCGCCTCCTGATTGGCAACTTTCAGAAAGCTTAGGGCCCAAGAACAACTACAGTGTAAGCTAAAGTTAATTCTGTTTCAGTGCTAAGGATTGGTAGCACCTGGTGAATCATTTTGGAATTTGCAAGTACCAACTGGTCAGAAAATGTGTTGTTCCAGAAAATATCCATACCTCTCCCACGGAAGG